AATAGCAACATCCATACATCTGTTTGAAGAGCRGAAGGGACATGGCAGAGCACTACAGCCATTGCACCTGCTAGCTCTCCCAACCTGCCTCACACACAGATGGAGTTGTCTATCCCACATCTTAGTCATTCCAATTAGTTACCACAGCCCCCAGAAAGTTGTTCCAGAGTTAACTGTCCTCACTRTGAAACGCATGGGCATGCTCCTTTGAGTGAGCCTCTGTTCTCCACCAACTAAAATGTGTTGCACTTAAAATACATCTTCCAAACTGACCTAAGTGTAAGGCCACCTTTTTCTTTAAAAATTAAAATGGAAAAAAAAAACCCAAACCATCTGAAATTTCAGAGCTCTTAAGACTGCTGAGCACTGACAGAGGGTAACTTGCTACTTTACATTCATAGCAGCTTACAGTCATTCCACTTCATCTTTGCCATGGAACTGTGCCTTCTTTAGGACTCAGTACATTTCASCTCCTTCATGTCATCCTTAACCCTGCAGTCTTGAATACTCCCTGTGCCTTTATCTTTCCCTTATCATTTTTCATGATTCCTCACTTGTCATTTTTGTTTACTGCTTTCAATTTGCTCAGTGTTTATATGCATAGCATACTTGCTCTCACTTTCCCAATGAAAAAAGACTTATTTTTTTTCCTCCCAAGCCACTATTTTCCTCAGTCACAGGATATTTGAACATTTAACAAAAAAGGATCTCCCAGTTATCATTCCTGTTTTTTACCCAGATTTCCCATCTGACCCGGCTGTTATTTTCAGCTCTCAAACTGCCATTTTTAGAGTGGTAATGATGGATAATTGGTTAGCACTGGGCTCTGCTTGCACGCAAGTATAGCCATGTGGGAATCACTGGCAACCAAGCAACCAGCTTTGTTTTTAATTATTTGATCAWTTCCTTGTTATCCATCAAGATGGAGTGTAACATAGCATGTGCCCCCAAAGGATACAACAATTTTTGAAGAACAACTTATCATCTGTAAGGTTGAGAACACTGGTAGCATGAGGCTTCTGACTTACCAACTCTAATTGCAGTCTCTCACAGCGACATCTCTTTTGGAGGGTATATCTTGCAGTCCTGACAGTTAAGATGACGTTATCCAAAGATAGTTAATTGGCTGCTAAATTTTTACTGTTTTTAGTGGCTGGCAGGAAACTTTTTTTTTTTTTTTTTTTTTGCATTATCTGTTAGAATACAAATTCACAAGCAGTCAAATGCTTGTTTGCCATTCAGATGACTGACAGGTGCGAGTTGCTTTATACCTACACCCACGTAGTCTGGAAGGTCCTGGTGGAAGTCACTGTGCTGAACAATTAAAGTCTCTTGGCTTCTTCCTCACTTGCTCCTGTAAACATTTCTTACTTGCACTCAACCTGAGATGGTAGCACTCTCCAAATCCAGGGACTCAGCAAGTTCCTTGTTAGGAAACAGCAGGAACAAATGATTCAGTAAGGGAAGATGAAATGGGAGCCAAAGACAGCAGGGCAGTCCTTTAGCAGCAGCTTTAGGCCCAGCAACTGCACCCAAGATGAACATCAGAACAGGCTCAAGGAGGGCTGCCAGAAGGCRCTAAAGAAGCACCAGAGAAAGCTGCAGCCCTCTTACAAGCCCAAACCACCTAAAAAGTTGGGCTAGTGAGGGCAAGGGGCTTATATACAGCTCTTGTGCAAGGGTGTAGTCCCAGCTGAGGCTGGTTAGGACAATTAGGGCCTGTTGTCCTCGTGGCTCTGATGCTCCTCAGCCTTGTCTTGGACTTGCTCTCCCAGGGTACTCAACTTCTTTTCCAGGCTAGTAAATGTGCTTCATGTGGAAAAAAAAAATCCATTTTAGCTTCATGAAAAAAACGAAGAGAGAAGAAAAAAAAAAAAAGAAGACAAGGGCTATCTAGGGCATGTCATAGTAACTGCTCCATCATTGGCCATCTGCAGCAACTTTCAATTAGTACCAAGAAAGAAATCCAAACATACCCATCTCCAGACTTCCTTTGCAATTCCCGCTTGCTACTGCTGCTTGCTGAAAGGGAGCATGTGGATTTTGTACTGAATGTTGCATAGATGCTAATGTATAAGTATATTTAGAGATGACATATGGGCAATAGTAATGAGTTCTCTTCAGTCTAGATTACACAAGCAAATGCAGAAAAGCCAGGTGCTGTAGTGGCTTAGTTAGGAAGTTTCCATTACCTGGAGTCACGATTTTGATTGGGGTTTGTTTGTCAGCAGAGGTAGAAAACCTTGAAGACTTGAGTCCTTTGTAAAGAAACAAACAAAATAATATACCACTTGATCTGGGTGATATTKTAAACCATTCAGAGACAGAGAGCTCTAACTATCATTTGGACCACTATAGGCATATACATGTCAGAGTAATTTATGTCAATTCAGAGAAATCATGTTGCAGTGTAATAGCTGAGAGAACAGTTTGCCATAGCAAACTTCACTGAGTGAAGTTCCTCCTTCAGTTTGGAGGCCTCCCTGGAGGGCCTGAGGTATGTGGGGATGTGTGGGTTTCAGGTACCCAAGCTTTCTCTGTTGAGGATGGCAGTATGATTTGTTCTGATACAGCACAGTGTGGTTCTCCTCAGGTAACAGGTAATTTGGAGCTGGATATGAAAGCTCTGAACTGAGTCCCATCTTCTAGGCAAGCTGCAGTCTGCCCAGTAACTGGCCACATTAAGAAATCTCCCACTAACTGGACTTCATCTTTTTGGATTTTTAAGTGATGAGAAGGGTTTAATTTTAGAGCCTAAGCAAGAAAATTTCCAAGCTGAGCAAAGATGAAAACTTTCCATGAAAGTGCAGATGGAGAATCCCTTTCAGTAATATTACTGTAACTTGATCTGCTCTGATTAAAAGGTTAATTAGATTTAGAGTGCTTATAGACAAAGGAAAACTACAAGATTTTTACAATTGCTCGTGAGCTGGTTTATAACAAATCTACTGTGGTCATTACGTTTCCCCCCTCTGTCACAGCCTAATGTCTCTTCTTTACGGCCTTGCCTGCAGCAGTAAATAGCAGCCATAAAGCATCTTGCCGTTGCTTCTGCTAGCGTATGAGTCCATTTTAAAGCCTGCTCGTTGCGTTGCGTGCATTTCTCTTTGCATAGAGAAGTACTTAGTTTTGAATGTCACCCAGTCCTACAGAGGCAAGTGGAAGACAGATTATGCTGGCAGCGATCCATCCATCTGTTCATGTGCCAGCGCTAATGTTTAGCTTTTCAGGCTCCTGGTTGTCTTAAATAATGCTGACCTACAGGATCTGGGGTGGGAAAGGTCACATAGCTCATTTTGTCTTCCATTTCTTAAGTGGTAATTAAACTTTCTGAGGTGTTATAGCTACATGCAGTTAGTGTTGATTGGCAGTATATACGAAGTTGGAGTAAAATGCTTTTCAGAGGGGTGGTGTTGCATGAGACTCTTACCACCCACTGGCAGCAGCATCCCCGTCCTATTTTTCTTTATTTCAGYACACCATAGCTGTTCAGAAACATCCCACTGCCTCAACAGAAGGTTTCCATTCCTTCCTGAAAGCAACTTTTCTTCCTTTTCTTCAGTGTCAAAAGTGGTGATCGCTAACCTGCCCATCATTGCTGTGACAAGCCCAGGCCAAACTGGCCCCTGCTTCTCAGATCGGAGCTACTCTGGGCAGTTCACCCTCTGCTGTGTCTCTATAGTCAAAAAGTTGCTGGCAGAAAAATAATAGCTGCATACACTGCAGAAATACCAACCATTCCTCACAGACAGCCATCCTCTCTGAAGACAGTAATATAATTTTACAGCCTCCCCCATTTTCCAGGCGAGTAGAGCAGCCCCTTCATCACTTCATGTCTAGCCCTTGCAATCCCTCCTTCCCCCTACTCCCGCAACTGTAATAGCCTCAGGTCCCCTCACATCCCCTTGCTCCTGGCAGTGAAAGTTGCTGCTTGCAAGTCWAAATATTTCCTATGGGGAAGTCACCCCAGCCATCAGTGTTCCTAACGCTTCTAATACAGACAGGCAGGAAAAAGGAATTAAGGAAAAAATCCCATTGCTAATTGGAATAGAAGCGAAGGGAAGAGATGCAAATCCGACTTGAAAGAGTAGCTTTGCCTCTCAGTCAACTGGGAAAAATAACTTACTGGAGCATTTAAGATTATGAAACACAAGCAAATAAATGATGGTGACAGTTTGATCAAAGGGTGGCTACATGTGAGAAAGCCTCTGTCAGTGCCAGTCTGGTCTCCATGCGCTTAGGAACCTTGCCCAATAAATTTGATGGATAGCTACATGTAATGTAGGAGAAACCAACTAAATTTGGCTCCTGGGATCTGTTCCTGATGTAAAGTACTTTCAGAATCTATAGTCCATTAAAACCACATTTATCAATGAATGTAAAAGTGAGAAACTGGAAGCAGAATTATTGTTCTTGAGTTAACAGGGAGGGGGAAAATCTGAGCATTCAAGTGATGGAAAAGCTGACACATCAATTGGACTTGATCCTACACAGGAGTATTTACTAGGTCAGCTCTCCCAGCATAATGATTCCGCCATAGGAATCAATCTCCTGTAGATATTCTATAATAACAGATCCAAAACAGTAACAACTTTCTGGAAGASAGTACTCACTGGGGAACTACCTAATTGATTGATATTGTTTAGAGTAAAAAGTTCTCTAGTAAGTTTATGAGTGTGTATGACAACCCTTAGACATATAACACAGTAGAAGATGTTGAATCTTCTAGAAACAAACAAATAAACAAACAAACAAAAACACTTTGCTCCTATGTTAATTATACTAAAGTCCCCTCAAGAAACAAGACTTCTTCCTGTTTGTTCATGCCTTGTTGGAGTTGAGACAAATAGGTGGAGACAAATACCACCTACAGGGGAAGTGTGAGTTTTACTGGGACTTATCACCTCTTTGTTAACTCATCAGCTAACCACAATTAAGAATGTTTTTTTTTTTTTTCACAGAGAAAGCAAGGCCAAAGAGAACTAATACTTCAGAAAGGCAGTTTCTGTCCCTCAGATCCTTAGGATGCTTTTACAAGGCAAGAAACCCCAGTCACAAGTGGAACAGAACCCCTCCTGCCCAGCATTCATCACTCGGCTAGGATAAGGGTAAGAGATCACACTGAGCTGTGTAATGCAGAGTAGGAAGCTGGGAGACAACCTGCAGCACTGCTTTTACAGAGTGCACTTCTTCACTGAGCCTCTGGAAAATAAAGCAAAAAGCTGTGTAACAGCAGCTTTTCTACACTTGAAATAGTCCTGGAATGGCAGGAGGTTCCCTGTGGCTATTGTGGCAGCTGAATGAAATTGTCACTTGAGATAAGACAGGGGAAAATCCTGGCTCTTTGCCCACTGGCAGAGGTCCCAGTGATTTCACTGGAGCCAAGATTTTTGCTCTATATATGAAATGAATTACCAGGGTGAAACTGCAGAAATATCRCCTCAATGAGAGGTCTGCAGGAATCCATTGCAGCAGTGTGACTGCACACCGAGGTCCTGCTGCTGAAGGGAGGCTTTGCACTTGTGATGAGGAGCAGTTTAATGCTCTGTCAGGAGGGAGAATGAGGTAGAAAGTGGTAAGTGCCACTAAATACACCTAGGATGTCACAGAACTGGTCATCTCTAGGCAAATTCACACATTCTGGGAGTATTTTTTGATACGTATCCCCTTTTATTTCTCTCTCCTCTTCCTCCCCTCTTCTCCCTCCCCCCCACTAGTTTTCTTTGAATTTCCACAACCTCCAGGGACTATTTATCACTATCTATCAATATCACCATGGCAACAAGAAGTGATTAATGGTATCCTGCCTATTGACAGTAAGATCCTATAGGATGCTGAACTGGGTGAACCACGGCCATCAGCTTCAAGAGGGAGTTTGGGACCTTTTTAGGTCAGGCTCTTGTTCTCCTTTGCTTACCTCTCCCCAAGGAGGTCCTGCCCTGTGTGGTGGCAGGAAAAGATACATCTCCTCCCATGGCAAGTCATGGAGATCATGTGCTGTGGGGAACTGCTACCAGGAAGAGCTAGGGCTAAATCTGCTGCACAAGGAAGGGCAAACATGCTCTCTCAGGGTTATCTGCACCAGGCTGTGGCACTGGGAGACACTTTACATTGCAAGTAAGCAACTTATCCAGCAGACCTATGGGGAGCTCAGCACAAAGCAAGAGACTCAGAGGCCAGAAATGGGGAAAGGCAGGCTAAACTGTGAGGAAAGATTAAGCACATGTCATATAATTCTGCAAAATGGTGTTGAAGGGAGAGAAATTCTCAGTGGGTGTAAATTAACATTGACAAACTACACTGATTTACAACCAACTGATGGTCTGGCCTACAGTCTAATTGTCTGAAAAGCAGCAGCAACTGAAAGGGAGGGGGTTATTTAGAGAGGCTCATGGGGGTTGCTGGGGATTGATGAGTTGAAAGGGAGCAAAAAAAAAGAAGAAAACAAATGTGCCTGCAGCTTAGTGTTCTCCCAGGGAAGCAGGTGGGGAAGCGGCCACCACTGGTAAGATGAAAAGCAGCCCTGGGCAGCGAGACTGTCATCTTGTTCTGATACTGCATCACAGGGCCAGAACGGTCCCCAGCAGTCATTGGGGTGGTGCTCATGGAGGACAGGGAGGCAGGACAGCCAGGGAAGAGGCTTATGATGTTTCTTGGGGTGTCAAAGAGCTCTGCAACAGGAGCCTCTCCAGCCACAGCACATCTGCTGCGGCCCTCCCTGCCTGGTGACAGGCAATATGCACTTGCAGACTTTGAGAGGACAATTTTTCTAAATATCTGCTACTGACCATTGCTGGACATGTCTCACGTTGGGTTGGGCACTGGTGGGGCTATGTCAGAGTGCACCTCTGTTGGCTGGAGGCTATGGAGTTGTCTGGAGCTGGTCCTCATAGTTAGAACCGATGCTTTACCTTTGCTAGAGCTGAGCTTCAAGTGACAGCCTTGACCTGTCCTGGCATGCTGAGGAAAACAAATTTGCTTGTAGCCATTTTGTGGTCATTTGCTGCAATAAGTGCTGAAGTTGCATCTATGCAGAGTAGAAACTTGGGTGGAAGAGAATAGWTGTTGGGATGTGAAATGAGGTCACATGTGGTTTTGTTCTTCCTAAATTGCAGAGGACCTGGATGGGTTTTCCTGCTCGAGCTTGTCTCCATGAACTGCATGGGTCTGAGCCAGGGATGTTGGAGCCAGGTGTGGAACAAGGCTGGAGGCTGCCCTCAGCTCATTCCTGTTCCARCTAGGCTAGCAGAGCTCAGCAAGTGCTAGGGCCAACATAAAGGGGGTGGAGGACACCTTGGATCTGCTCTACAGGGCCCAAAGGCAGCGGAGTGCTCAGTGTACGCAGGCCAGGGGAAACTGCCTTGGGCCTGAATGTCAGCTGGCTCAATTGGCAGAGCTTGGTTAAAAGCCTCACAGGCTCTTCTTGCAGCTGCAAGCAGGGAACAGAGCTGCTTGTGGTAGTAGGATGAAGTGCAGGATCTGTCGGTCAGATAGTGGCTGCTGTGGGTTCATGGTGATGTGCGTGATTTGTCCTCACAGGGCACTTGATTCCAAAGAGGCCATTCTTCCTTCTGAGGAGGATTCAGCTTGAGGAGGCTTGTGGTCAGCCAGAGTCCTGAGCCACTCAAAGCTACGGAGATGATGGGTGATGCCATCTCCTGGCGCACCTTCAGCCGATGTTGCTGAACACCAATGATTAGGACACGATAGGAGGTGTGATGGAAGTGTCTCCAGAAGCAGGAGTTACAGTACTGAACATACTCAACCTTCATTTGCCTCACGGTGAATACTAAGGCAAATGTGAATACAAGGTGAATACTCATCCCTTGCAAGCTCCATTCCCGTAGCTGTTCTGTCAGGAAGACTGTTGGAGCAATATGTTGTCCAAGAGATGGAGTGATGCAATGGTGGAAGAGGTTCCAATATGCTGGAACGCTTGCCCTCAAGCAATGGGCTGGAAGTATCACATCATCACATCCTTCCTGAAGGGGGAACACAAGGAGAAAACCATGCTGTGTCTCAAGRAAAAGCTGCTGCTAAGACTTAGAGAACAGCCAGAAAAGTTTATAAAGGCACCACTGCCAAGTGCATGGAGGTGTGGAGCAGTTTGGCTCCTCAGGTGAAACCTTTCATGCTAATACAACAAATTTTCAATACCATAGAATCATAGAAT